AGCATAATATCCTCCAAGTTCATCCATATTATGTGGTGTTTTGTAGACTCTACATTATTCTTTAGTGCTGCATAACATTCGATTATGTGTATGTACCATAGTTTGCTCTTCTACTCTTCTGCTACAAACCTGGGAGATAAGTCTCTTGCCAGATACATAATTATTGGCAAATATGAATTTCTTGCTGTCAATTTTGTTACGTGCTTTTTCATGGTGTCGATTTCTTTGTTCCATGTAATTTTCTTAGCTGAGCTCAAAAAAAGCTTCCTTCGTTGCTATTGTTTTAGTATTTGCTGAATATTTATGCTGGTCTTCTTTTTTGATGTGAAGGTTTATCATTTTTCTTTGAGGTTACCCTGTGATTTATGGTTTTCTTCCCAAGTTTAGAATAGTCCATTCTATCTTATAGTTGTCTTGACTTCCCTACCTTCTGGAAGTTCTATAATGACACAGTTTTTTCCCTCTTTTTGGTTTGTAGTTGTCATCATTTGTCAATTGATGTCTCTGGTTCCCTTTTCACAATCTTGTAGGGTTCTTTACTTTGGATACTTCCACAGCTGGGTTGGTTTCTGGGTTATGTCATCATGTGTATTAATGGTCAGTTGTTGTTGGCCGTTGTTGCTTCTCTGTCCAAAGGACTCCCTTTAGCATCGCTTGTAAGGTTAGTCTGGTTTTAACAAATTCCTTTAATTTCTGCTTATCTGGAAATGTCCTAATTTCATCATCATATTTGAGGGACAGTTTTGCAGGGTACATAATTCTTGGTTGGAAAATTGTTCTCTTTCAGGGTTTTATATATACCATCCCATTGTCTTCCTGCCTGCATGGTTTCTGCCAAGAAATCTAAGTTTAGTGTTATTGGTTGCCCCTTGTAGATAACTTTTTGTTTTTCCCATGCTGCTCTCGTGATTCTTTCTTTGTCTTTGGTTTTGGTAAGTTTGATGATGATATGTCTTGGTGATTTTCTTCTGGGGTCTATCCTGTTTGGGGTTTGTTGGACTTCTGAATGGATATATTTTCATCTTTCATGATACCAAGAAAATTGTCTTCCAACAAATCTTCAACAAGTTTCTCTGTGGTTTTATTTGTCTCTTCCTGTTCTGGAATTCCGATGATATGTAGGTTATTCCTTTTGATGGAATCCCACATGAACCTTAGCCTTTCTTTATTTTGTTTTAATCTTTTTTCTGATTGACCCCTTTCCAAAGAAGTATTCAGGTATTTGCTTTTAATCTAATTCTGTCTTCCATCGATTCAATTCTGCTCCTTTTCCCATTCAATGTCTTATCTATTTCTGAAAATTTAGTGTTAGTCTTCTGGATTTCTGTGTGTACACCATGATGTTCTGTTGTCGCCAAGGCATTGTGATGTTTTTGTGTTTATATTTAATTTGTGATTGTATGTTGGAGTGACTTGCCCACGATTTTTGTTTTTGTTTTGTTTGTATGTTATCTACACAAGCAGGGTACTGTGCTCCTCTATTCATTAGTCGACAGCACTCACCACCTGTCTCCTTTCCCCTTGTCAGCCTTTCATATGTCCCTGCCGACCTTGGCAAACAGAGCCTATTCTTAGATCACTGGAATCCAAATGAGAATGACATCACTTTAAAATCCAAAAAGGTTGCCACTTGTAAAGATTCAAAATGGCTGCACCCTCTGTCACTTTAAATATCCAAAATGGCCACCACTTGTGAACATTCAAAATGGCTGCGCCCTCTGTCACCTTAAATATCCAAAATGGCCACCACTTGTACATTCAAAATGGCTGCACCCTAGGTCACTTCAAATATCCAAAACAGCTGCCACTTGTAAGCATTCAAAATGGCTGCACCCTTGGTCACTTTAAATATCCAAAATGGCTGCCACGTGTAGACAGTCAAAATGGCTGCGTCCTCTGGACAGCGGAAAGTCCACAGCTCGGGTTGTCTCCTCTTTGCTGTTTCCCTTCCTAGTCATAGGCAACCAGCACAGTCGTCCCTGCAGTCCTTGGTGACCAGGGCTGATCTTTAAGTCAATTCTCAGCTTCCATCACTACTTGGAAATATTCAGGCTGTTGGTCTAGTCAGAGTGGGTGATAGTCTGCAGCTCCAACTGTCTCTGTACTTACTGTTTTCTTTCAGGATTTTCCACTAGTTGGTGCCTAATTCACTTCTATATAATTCTTTCAAAGCTCGGGGCTCTAGTATTAGCTTCTGTATCTCTGTCAATTGGTTTTTCTTTTCTTTGTTGAAGAGGGTCTGTGTTGCTTGTCTGCCTATTCCTCCATCTTCTAATGCTTTGAACTTGTATAGAGAAGTTTATTTTATTTTTTTTTTATTGTGATTTGGGTGAAAATTTACAAAGCAAATTCGCTTTCCATACAGCAATTCACATACACTTTGTCTCATGACACTGACCACAATTCACCACAATGCAACAGCTCCCCTCCTACTTCCTCCTAATAGTCACCTCTTACCTGTGTCCATATCTACATGCACCCCTGCCCCCTGAGCTGTCTCCCTATGCATAAACAGCTCTTCTTTCTCCCAAGATTGTTCTCTCCAAAGAGTGTATTTACCTCAGGTAAATGTTCAACTCCTATGCCTGTCTTTTGCTTGGCTGGAAACCACAGATGTGGGTTCAGTTCTAAACCTAAAGGGCAGCTGGGGGCCATAGTCTCAGTGGTTCCACCAGGCTCTATCAGACCAACAAACCTAGTCCCTTTTTTTTTTTTTTTTGAGTGTTGTTCCACATTGTTCTCCTTCTCTATCCAGGATTTCCTACATAGATCCCCCTCCGAGTGATTGACATTGGTAGCCAAATACCATCTAGTTTTTCTGGTCTCATAGTTGTATAGGCTGAGGATCACATGGTGTACCAATTGCTAGGACTAATTCTTTCCATGAATCTTTGGTTTTCTTCATTCTTCTTTGCGCTGGACAAGGAGAGATCCATTGTTGCATTTAGATGGCAGCTTTCAAGCTTTTGAGATCCCAGTCGCTACTCGCCAAAGTAGGAGGTGGAAAAATGTTTTGTGTAGTATGTTATCCCAATGGAGCTTCATGCCCCTGTGCCTATGGTCCCGAGCCCACAGGTTCAACTACTTGGTCCTTCTGGGTAGCTGGCTGTGACCAAAAAGTGACTACAACCTTGTCTCTTTTCAGCTCTACTGTACACCATACAAATACACTTATAGGACCATTGTTTGCCAACCCTATACATGATCTTGGGAATACTCCCCGCTTCATAGACATACCTAATAGTTTAGCCTGTTCACCCATCTATCCACCCGTATACCTGTGTTTGCCTTCACTGACAACGCTGTACTGTATGTGCAAAAGGGGTCATTTTTGTTGTCTGTACCTCCCATGTGCCTCTATGTCTTCTTCTTCCTCAGTGCCACCATGTTGATCACTCACATTTGGTACATTGCCCTTCTCTTCACCCAAATCATTACTTACCTCTACCTATCTAACAGTGTTCCCTCTTCTCCCCTCCCACCCCTGGTAACCAACAAAGAAAATTTCCTTCCATATAGAAACCTTTCCTTGATTTTTACAATAACGGACTAATGCAATATTTGTCCTTCTGTGATTGACTTATTTCACTCAACATAATGTCTTCCAAGTTTATCGACATTATGTGGTGTTTTGCAGATTCTGGGTTATTCTTTTGGGTTGCATAGTATTCCATTGTGTGTATGTACCAAAGTTTGGTTATCCATTCTTCAGTTGATGGACCCCTAGGTTATTTCCATCTTTTAGCTTTTGTAAATAGTGCTGTGATGAACATGGTTATACATATGTCTGTTCTTGTCATGATATCCTTCCCTAAGGACTGACTGGTTCCTTCTGACAACATGACCATGAATGAGTTTCCAAAGCTACTGTACCGTTTTTACATCCCTACCAGCAGTATTTGAGGGTTCCAGTTTCTCTACGTCTTGGCTAACACTTGTTATTAACATGCATATATATATACATATACATGTATGTATTATAAATGTTTAACAGCTTTATTGAGTTATAATACACATATTGTATAATTCACCTATTTGAAGTGTGTAGTCCATTGGCTTTTAATGTATTCAGAGTTGTACATCCATCACAGCAATAAATTTTTTTTTTTAATTTTTACTGTGATTTGAGTGAGCTTTACAGAGCAAATTCACTTTCCATATAGCAGTTCATACACATTTTGTCTCATGACATTGACTGCAATTTCCCACAGTGTAACAGTTCTCTTCTCACTTCCTCCCCATGGTTACTTCTTCCCTGTGTTCTTCCCTCCTGTGTACTCTTGCCCACCCTTCCCCCTAGCTGTCTCCCTGTGCATACACTGCCCTTCTATTCTCCCATGATTGACTTCTCAAAGTGTATCTACCTAATGTAAATGTTCAGCTTATATATGCCTGTCTTTTATTTGAAAGGAAACCATAGGAATGGGTTCATTTACAGACCTGAAGGGCAGGTAGGGGCTATAATCTCAGAGGTTTCACCAGGCTCTATCAGACCAGTAAACCTGGTCCTTTTTTTTTTGATGCATCACAATCAATTTTAAGACATTCTGATCATATGAAAAAACCCATAGGTATTGCATTTTGGAGCACTGCCATTTTAAATAATGGAGCTGCCTTTCTTCTGAGTTCAAGTACAAAGCCCTTTGCCTATGGTAGTTAATAAAGGTAGACAAATGGGCAAGGATTTTAGCCATAACTGGATGTAGGAAATCTTCCCCATATATTTTATTTAACTTCTTTATCAGATCAAATATATGAGGGAAAGTTACTGGAACCCACAATTTGTACAGTATCTAATCTCTGATAAATACTTACTTAATATACATTTGTTGAAGAATCTGATACCCAAATTGAAGTCTTATAACAGTATTATACTTGTATAATTTTAAGATGTATTTTCCTATGAGAGGTCTATATTAAGATTGATTTTAGAATGAAAATTAAAATATATTCTAGCATCCTAGTGATTTTGATTTTTAATTGTTTATATTTGCTTTTAGGGTGGATCTATTTTATTAATAACAGGTCCTCCTGGATGTGGAAAGACAACAACTCTAAAAATACTATCAAAGGAGCTTGGTATTCAAGTACAAGAGTGGATTAATCCAGTTTTACCCGACTTCCGAAAAGATGATTTCAAGGAGATGTTTAATCGTGGTAAGGTTTGCAGTGATCGTAGTGGATATAGTGGGGAAAGCCTGTATATAATGGAGCTTTGAAATGAACCACCCATCCATGAACTTAAGATTACTAAGATCCAATTAGATTTTTGAGGGGAAGATAGATAATGCCATTTCTTTACTACAAAAAGGCGCTCTGGTGTTGTAGTGGTTAAGGCATTTAGCTGCTAACCAGAATGTTAGTGGTTTGAACCTACCATGTACTCTGTAGAAGAAGGATGAGGCATTCTACTTCTGTAAGGATTTACAGCCCAGTGGGTTTCCTGAGTCGAAATGATTTGATGGCAGTGAGTATATTACAAAGAAGACTGTTTGGAAGCTCAAGCCTTGTGACCAGGGATTAGAACTGGTTCGTTGTACTTTGACTCCCCCTGCTGAGAATTTGCATTTCCTCCACAGATGTACTGAATCAGAATCTACAGTTTAATAAGATTCCCAGCTGATTCTTAGAACTAGACTGAACTGGTTCAAAGTCCTACTTGTGACAAACTTCTAAAAATAACAGTACTAATTTAAAAAGTTATTATAATATGCTTATATATACACTAGAATTTTTTTTTTTTTGCCAAGACATG